AAAAAAAAAAAAAAAATAGAAAGAAAGAAGAATTAAAAAAGAGAAAGATAAAAAAGAAAAAAAAAAAAAAGAAAAAATAATAAAAAAAAAAAAATAAAAAAAAAAAAAAAAAAAAAAAAAAAAAGGGGGGGGGGGGGGGGGGGCTCATGTTTTGCATGCCTTCACGGTTAGACCAATGGATTTAGCTGTCTGTGGATATAGTGGTCATTTAAAAGGTGACCACGTACCACTTTCGACTACAACGTATATTGCGTATGAATCGCTCGGAAGCGCCTGCCCCCAACAATCGTGCGCGCACAACACGTGCCAAACTGCCGTAATTCCGCGCAGAGAAACTCCTTGCATGGCTCATCCATCCCTTTCTCCTGCGTGAAAAGAGGTCACCATACATACAAATCCCAGACTGTCTGTCGCATTCTCTCCGTGGTCTCATTCACCACAACCGACCGAATAACACGTGCCTGTCCCGTGATCCCAACTCCTTCTCGAAGGACTTCTCGAGGGCTTCCTTCTACTGTCTGTCGAGCTCACGATCTATTTGCCCAAAACAAGCGAGCTCTGCGGGCAAAATCCACTTCTCTTGTAGATACCTCTCGCCAGGTGCTCCATCTTACTTTCCTCGCGGGGACAGGGGTCGCACACCGTTGGCGCGCTCATAGCCATGACACTGACGTACAGTTGAGACGAATGGACCGGACGCGTATGTGCATGCGTCTCGCAGCAGCCACTGCTGTTCGTGTGGCTTTGCCTAACATGACACGCAGAGAGAGACAGCTCTTAATCCCATGCTCATCACGACAGCCAGGTTCGGGAGAGAGGAGAGAAATGCAAACACACACACCAGAAACAGCCCCAACGTACCGAAGTCGAAAACACAAACACAAAAAACGTGCGAGCGTGGACAGAAAAAGAGAGAGGAACGGAGGGGCGACCATCACCCGGACAAAAGAGAAACGAAAAAAAAGGTCAAGAAAAAAGTGAAAACAGTGGCGTGCGTGCACATCACGATGTCAAATCCCTGTTTGCGTTCAGGCCTCACGGGAAAAAGTAGCATTTTCCTCTTCTTCTGCTTGCTGATGCTCTGAGTGACGTGCTGGCATGATCGTTTTTGTGGATCCGTATTGTTCAGCGGGTGGTGGTGGCAAACCGAAGAGCGCTTGAAATACACAGCCGTGGTAGTCTTTCCAGCACCCCCGGTCTTTTTTCCCCCCGCTCTCCCCTCATCCTTCGTCGCAAACAAAAACACTTCCCGTGGCCAAACGCTATCCGCTACCAAGCAAACAGACGATAAAGATCAACTTTCAACTAATAGAACATGAATCGTGCCACTGGTAAATAGTAGCCCGAGTTGCAGCAGTACTGCAACGATACATAGCTCAACAGCAGCATGCTCGCCTTCTCTGCCTGATGGCGTCCGCGCGGGAGAAGAGCAGCACGCACTTCGCCGGAAGCCCGTCCCTGCCCGCGCGGCCCGTCTGCTGATAGTAGGCCTCCACCGTCTTGGGCAGCCCGCAGTGGATCACGACACGAACGTCCGGCTTGTCTGGGGGGAGGGGGGGGGGGGGCAGTACTCTTGTGTATGAGTGTGTGTACTCATGTGAACGCATATGCCGCAGTCGTTAGACCATTGACCTTGGCATCTCTACAATGCCGGGACAGAGCGATGACTCGAAACAGCACAACTGACATGGAGTTGTCTGGGCAGAACCGCCATCTCACTTTCGCTCACTTACCGATCCCCATGCCGAACGCGATCGTCGCTATCACCACCTGACCAAAACGGCAAAAAACAAAGGAAGTAGAGGAACTGGAGTTTCAAGTATTGACGGGAACATTGACCATCACGTCATGAAGAAAAAAGCATGTATGTGAGTCTAATTATTCAAAAAACAATGTACGTCGCATATGTTTTTTTGTTCTTTTGGCTTTGAGGAAGACGCACTTTTCAGTATGCAGCAAGAAACAGAAAGTACACTTGACCGCCAAACTCAATGAAAAAATAAGTGCTGCTGTTGTTGTGCATACCTGTACGCCGTCTCGTAGGAGGGCGTGTGCATGTATTTCATGTTTACACAATACCATTTGATTAAGACTATATGTACATGTATTATTTTATTGCTTGATTCGGGGCAGAGATACGTCCGAGCGAGAAACAAGCCAAAAGGACCATGCACATGACCGGCAAACACCAAATCAAAGCTATTGTTGGTGCACAGCCTACTTTACTTGCTGTTGTTGTACATACCTGCACGTCGTCCCGTATGAAGGCGTGGTGCACCTCCCTCCTGTCCGCGGGGGACATGCCCCCGTGGTAAGTCCTCGCACCCTTGGAACCCACGATACGCGCCACCTGTCCGCACACAACAGAGTCGCGGTCATTTTGTCGTCCGCCGGGCTGTAGAGGCGCGGAGGGTCCGAGCTCGATGCGTTCTCAGCCGACATGACACAAAAAAACACTACCCACGTTTTCGCAAGAACCTCCCCTGCGTCGTTCAGCACTTGTGTTCAACGTTCACGGGATGTTGTTACATGGATGCTCCCAGAAGATAACAATTTCGGTGTTCTTGCAGCTCGCCCGAGGATGGGTAGCTCACTCTTTTATCCTCTTGCGTCGGCAACTATCTTTCTCTGCGGCCTTAATATCACTCATCGGGTTAGCTTACGGCATCGTGCTATCCGTTGCCAAGGTTGATTCAAAGCGACGTACGTCCAAGAGCTATATTCTCTGCGGCAAACGACGCTTGCAAACACCAACATCAGGTTACAAAAAAAAAAAAAACAGCTGCGCCCTGTCCTCATGTGACGTGGTCATGGTTCTCGTTTCTCGACTATTCTCTCACGACGCCCGTCAGCTGCTCGAAACCTAAACCTCCACGGCAGCAACACTAAGCACAAACAGCAGTATATAAGCACAGCAGTTACTCGCATGCCATGCCTTTTTTCCCCGGCTCGTTCTCACGCCGCCCTCGGCTGCTCGGAAGCTAAATCTCCATGGCACGGCAACAGCGCCAGCAAACACCAAGCGCAGCAAACAAAAAACAGAAGTGTTTAGATACTCTTATCCCTTGTTCTTATCGTATTTTTGGCTCGTCCTCACGTCTCCCGTCAGTTGCTCCGCGTCCCTCTTGGTCATGACGTAGATTATGGCGCTTCCCTCCAGCCCCCGCAGCAGCGAACACAGCGCCTCGTGCCTGCTCTGGACGTTCACCGTCTTGACCTATTGACAAACGGTGTTGAACAACGTCAACGCACACACGTGCCGACAGCAAAGCGCAAGGTGAGACAACGTTATGGCGGTTCTGAGAAACGACAAACACAGCGCCTCGTGCGTCCTCTAGACTTTTCATAGTCTTCACTTAATGGTGATGGTGTTCAACAACAACAAAAAAGCGCAAGCACGTGCCGACAAGAAGGCCTCAAGTGGTGACACGACGTAGTTACGGTGCTGACACACGAGCTACAAGCAGTTGATGCTGGCTCGCTGTGTCACGTGTGTGTGTTTTAGTTTTAAGAACGTGAGCACACGGGCCGACAAGAAGACCTCAAGTGGTGAAACAGCAGTGTCATGGCGGTGCTGATAAAACGATGAACCCGAGCTACAAGCAGTTGATGCAGACTCGCTGTGTCACGTGTGTGTGTTTCAGTTTTAAGAACGTGAGCACACGGGCCGACAAGAAGACCTCAAGCTGGTGGTGAAACAGCAGTGTCACGGCGGTGCTGATAAAACGATGAACCCGAGCTACAAGCAGTTGATGCAGGCTCGCTGTGTCACGCGTGTGTGCTAGTCCAACGACGTCAACAGACATGCCGATAACAATACCTGAGGCGGTGAGATGATGTCGTGAGTGGCGGTGCTGACAAAAACGATAAACCCGGGCTACACTCGAGGGTGCGCAAAACAAGGGGGCAGCAATGACGTTGATTCAAAAAGCGATCAAATCATTGAAAACGAATAATCAATCGCATGCATATTTTCTTGTGTTTTTTTTTTTTGTCTCGGTGTGGCCATACAGCAGAACTTACCGAATAGTGCAGGTTCCACCTGTTGAAGGAGGTCTTGGCCACCAAGGGATTCCGCAGCCCAAGGTTAGTCATGATCTCGGACTGGACTCTAGGGGTTGCCGTCGCCGTCAGCGCCATGAGCGGGACCTGCAGCACGCCGCAACAAAACAAATCAAGCGCATGGAAGATCTCTGACGGCCAGGGCGATGATCGGGACCTGCAGCACGCCGTAACAAACCAAGCCAATCGTACAGTAGATAGACGGGGCCATGATCGGGGCCTGCAGCATGCAGCAACCAAATCAATGGTATACTCATATTTTATGACGTGCTTAGTTCGTTAAACACTCGGCTGATTCGCGGGTCCATGTACACATCCAGAATCCTAACAGCAAAGAAAACAGCCATCCAGAAATCGGAACATGCGACCAAGAAAAACGAACGCGATGGCTTGGGCTGCCGCAAACAAGTAGAATGTACACTTCGCTGGCTCGTACAGAAATGTTCGAGGAGGTACAACAACAACAACAACAACAACACGTATGAAAGACCAAACCAAACTGGTCGAACCGTACTTAGATATTAACCCCTTCTACACAACGAAAATAAAAGTCCACACGCATGAACCGGTGTGTAGGAACACGTCTCTGCCAGTGCGAGGCTCTTGCACACAAAAACACAAGCCCGAAGGCATCGCTGCCGAGTGTACTTCGAACCTCCATTCAAACACGTTTAGGTCGTAGGCAATATCTTCCTCGCGTTCCGATTTCTGCGTAGTACCTTCGGTAGCACCTGTATCGGTCCAAACGACGGGAACGCCTTCCTTCGTCACAGGCCAACTAAATTGCCCCCCCCAAAAAACGATGCGAGAGATGACACCGGGTGCGTGGATCGGAATCTCATTCTTTTTTCTTTACATTTGTGTTTGCCTGCCCGGTGCCATCTCTTCGAAACACGCCATCTCGCTCATCCTTGCGGTACCTGCGGGAACTTGTCTCTGAGGGAGCGTAGCTCCAGGTAGGAGGGTCGGAAGTCGTGGCCCCACTCCGCCACGCAGTGGCTCTCGTCCACCGCGATCAAGGCAAGGCCCGGCCCCGCTTGCATCGCTTTTAGGCCGTGGTCCCACCCAGACACCTTGACAGCCACACACCGACGGGCACAGATATGTCACGGCAAGCGGACGGACACGGCAAGGAAGGCGACGGCAGAAGGAACGGCCAAGGTGCCCGACAGATCGACGGACATGGTGAATTTTCGTGGTCAAGCACCCGGACCCTTTGACAACCACACGCAGATATATCGCGGCAAAAACAGACGGCGACGTCGGAAGGAAGTGGCAAGGGGCCCGACAGATTGCACACATGGCTCCCATTCGCGAGCAACACCCCGACATCTTGACAGCCACACACCGACGAACACAGATGTGTCGCGTCAAACAGACGGCGACGGCGGAAGGAAGGGGCAAGGGGCCCGGCAGATAGAAAACATTGGTACAGTGCACGGGAAACACAACATACCGCCAGGTAACGAGAGAGGGGTCGAAATGAAATGGAATTTGTGTGCACGTGCCAACATTTACGAACGCCACCTGCTGCTGGCTTTCTCTCGACCAGTCCAGACAAACAAAAAACAACGGGTGCGAAAGTACATGAATGGCTGTCGCTGCGGAAAGAGCTCCAATTGTTTTCCCTAGATAGCGACGAGGTAGCGAGACACGTACATTAGTTCGACAGAAAAACGACAGCACTACAGACAGACATCGCACCTTCTCCGGCGTGACGAAGACCAGCGGGTAGTCACCCTTGATCGCCTTCTCCTCGGTCCTCAAGTCAGAAGAACCCCCGACCAAACAGGCCGAGATGCCGTTGCTGGCCAAGGAGAGCACCTTGACAGGAGCGAGAAAACGCAACATGCAGAGAGCAAGTTCTTTTTGTGGTCAGAGAAGAGAACGAGCGAAACAGGCGAGGTGAGGGGGAGCGAGAGAGAGGCAGACAGGGAGACAGAGCGAGGAGAGCGAGAGCGAGAGAGAGCGAGAGCGAACAGGCAGACAGACAGACAGAGAGAGTGTGTGCGTGTGTGTGAGAGAGAGCCATATCATAGGCCAACATGGTAGGAGGTTGACAGACACCCTTCTTGGCACGCTCCCCAAAACACGCACGTGCCGTCTGCCTCAGCAACGTCTCTAACAGGGATATCACAAAAATACTCCCGAAAAAACAGAATCTCACCCATCTCCTCCATGAAAAATTCCCGCAAAACGCAAAGCACCGGTCCCCGTCTGCGGGCAAATCGGGGGGCTTCGTTCTTAGAACGGAAACTAATCGCTACCTGGTCTTCCATGAGCGAGATGAGCGGAGATACCACGAGAGTCACGGGTCCGGTGCCGGTCCGTCCGCGCCGCTGCATCACTGCCGTCGGTACAGTATATCACGCAACGGAACAAGACGTGAGCGGCATGCATACGACCGTTAAAAAGGGGGCATGTGAAACGGAATGTAGTTCCAAGTCGTAACGGCATGTGATGGGACGTACATACGGCAGATATATTTCGGGGCAGGAAAAATGAAGTGTAGTTCGACATCGGCGCGAGACGTGAGGGAAGTACATGCGACAGCAGTTGCAACGGGGCACGATGAATGAAATGTAGTTCGACATCGTAACGGGATGTGATGGGACATACGACAGTTATTTTCGGGTCACGCAAAAGGGAGTTTAGTCGGAAAGCCACGAAAAAAATGCTGGGTTCGTGACTAATGGCTCTTGTGCCAAGGCGTGAGGCATGCATTCAGCCGCGCTCTAAGGCATGAATTACGCCGCGATTCTAAAACCATTCGAGAAGGCGCAAACCATGATTTGGTTGGCAGTCCAATTCCCCCAAGGCATGACGGGGTGCGCGAACACGCCGCCGACAACACCGGTTGGAAAAAGAGAGTGATTTCTTCTTACCAGGCATATCAAATGGGCGAATGGGAAGATAGCGCCAACAGTACCGATCTGGTATGCTTAGTTCCCTTGGATAAACATCGACTTCAACGTTCAATCTATGGCATGCGGCAGGATCGAGGGGGGGTACTCATGACTGTACCATGTCCGGCAAGTGTGCGTGAGACCGAATTTTCCTGGAATTTTCGAGTTCAGTTCGTCGGTGCGGCCGGGGAGAGAGGACAACGAACATGAAAAATGAAAAACAGCCAAGAAGAGAGCGCGCGGGGGGGGGGGGGGGGGGGGGAACTTA